GCCCTGAAAAGTAAGCGAGGAGCTGTTGCCATGATTCACCTAGGAGTGTCTTGAGTGGAGAATTGGGAGGAAAGAGCCCCATACAAACCAAACCTCTTGGCTTCGGAGAATTTCTCAGGCCAATGCCAGCTTTCAGGACTTGGAGCAATAGTCCAGTTCGGCTGCTGGAACCATGGGAGAGGTTGCTCTAAACAAGGAAGCGATATTGAAGTGAATAGCAGAAAGGGGAGGGAGGGAGAGAGGAGACCTGGCCATGCAAGGTGCAGCTCTGGAGTTCCTTGGTCTTGTTTTTCAAGATGTAAGGCTATACTGTTCATTTATCAATAATCATTTTAATCTCCTTGATGCCAATTATTTCCCCAAAGTAACAGAAAGTAACCAAGATGGGAGTGGGAAGGGATGGGGGGAATTCAGAGGGAATGAGGTAGGAGTCAGCCATTCACTTTGGGCATGTCTACATGTCGCTGTATGGCAATGTTGCTATGGCGCTGTGCTTTAGTACTTCCTTTTGGAGGAAGTACTAAAGCATAGCGCAATATGGGTGGTTACTGCACCATGCGTGTGGTGCATGGGTAGATTTTGCTGCTGTCACTGTAGCAGCATGCTGTACCAGGGAGTGTGCCGCTACAGCGACATAACTAGCAGTCACATATAGACCCACATGATTGCTACGTGGCTGTAGCGTGCCACACGGCAACATAGCATGTAGCTACATCACTGGAGGGCAATGTGTAGACGCATCCTTTCTCCTGCAGGTAGGTATGGGATTGGCATCCCTGCTACTGACTTGTTCTACAGCCAGGGTCATCGCACATCACCAATCTCTTGTCTCATTTTTCCATAAGTAAAACAGATGCTTACCAGACATGTCACAGGGGGATTCCAAAACTGCACTAAACAAGGCTTCTTTGGGGTGTCGAGGCTTCATTAGCCCAGGTTTGCCTGGTGCTTCAATGTCCAGATTTAACAGGCACTAAGGACCTATCAGCTATTCATATTTCAGGAAGCAAAGTCGGTGTGATCCCCCTGAATCCAGTGATGAAAACACACCTGAAAAGAAGATGGAGATTTTTCATTAGTGGGAACGCAGTAGAAAATGATCAGTATCAACTGTTACATTTAAGGAATCTCATTCAACCAGGGTGTTTTTGGAGCACTTCCCCAGCAAAAAGGCAGCAGACAGGCAGAGGGATCCCTCTTGTGGTAAAATAGCTGAATACACAGGCAGAGTCGATTCAATCAGAGTATGATATCCTGATCCATTTCTAAAAAGAGAATAACAACTGGAAAACTTTTCCATTTGTGTTTTCAAATCATTATTTTATAGGCTATTTCCAGAATGCAAGAAACAACCCGTATGCTAGCCCCTGTTTTACCTCAGAAACTGGATATTAGCACTGTCCATTTAATTGATCTGGTATTAAACTGAGGTTTTAGGAAGCCATATTCACACTGGGGCAGGTGTTGAATATATGCATGCATGGACTAATGGGGTAGTGGTCTTAGTTTGGGCCCCTGAGAACTACTGAAATGCAAATAATAATAATATCAATAAACCTTTGAGAGCAGAGGCACGCTGTGGATACCAGCAGATTCAGATGTGAACATAGCTGCTGATATTTTAATCCCATGGAGGCTGCTGCATGTGCACTTCAGCCATGAATGGGATGTATGCTGTACTGGACAGGTGCACTCCCCTGCTGACCTGGTGGAGCCAGGGTCGAATTCTGTATTGGGGACAGATCCTCCCACTCCCCTCCCTTGTTCCTGACAGACGCCCCCAGCAGTTCTGCTCCCGATAGGAACTCCTCCCTTTGGCTTGGTGCTCTGCCACCTCCCTGGCCTCCAACCCAGCTCCTGTCTTCCCTTCACCAGCTGTGCACCAGGTACCGAGAGCCTCCAAATCCCCAGCATTGTGCTTTCCTATTTCTCTCCCTTTTCCCTTCTTGCTTTCTTCCTTCCCTTATTTGCTGCCCCATAAGAGTATGTGTGCCTGGGAGAAAGATGAGGGGAGAAGGGGAGCAGCAGTATATGTATTAGAAACAGGCAGGCAGACCGACAGGCAGTTGGGCAGGTGTCTCCCTTATGCCCTGCTCTTTCCCACTAAACAAAAATATCCATATAAAAGCTTCATCAGGTTCATTTGCTTGTACTTGGTATCCCTGTCCCAAGCCCTTCAGAGAACAGTCTCTCTTTTGTGTTTGTACAGTGCCCAGAGCAATAGGCACTTTCAACCCTCCCCTAATACAAACGTTTACTACTAATAAATTAGTAATGGATATGGGTGTGAGTGAGAGAGGAGGGATGGGTGGGAAATGCATATGTATGTGGGAGGGGTGGGAAAAGCATGCACCTTTCTGGGGAAGAAGAGGACTGGGAGCATAAAATGAGAAAAAGGGAAGGGGTGGGTGTGAGTCTGTGTGTGGATGGCTGGGCTCAGTCACAGGAAGAAATGGAGAGGGGGCAGTCTGAATTTCCTTGTAACCTGCTAGGGAAGACTGTTGCATGTGAACCCTGTTTTGGTCTCCTCGCAGCTCCCTGCCTCTCCCTGCTCCTGTCTGACCATTTATGACACAGGTTCCCAACTACCAGGCCATGGCCCAGTACCAGGCCGCAAAGGGTTGGCTGCTGGGTCGTGGCATAAGCCCCCCATCTGTCCGCTTGGGAGAGCGGCTTCTGCCGCCGGCAGCCACACATGGGGTTAAAGCTCCACGCAGCAGGCACTGGGGCTCACACTGGGCTGGGCAGGACTCCCAGCTGGGCAGGAGTTGGGGACGTGGGTGGGGAAATACCCAGGGCAGAGGGCAGGGAGGCAGCTCTGCTGCTTGCTAGTAGGGTAGGCAGCAGAGCCCCTTCTTCCAGGGCAGCCCCAGCTGGGTCCCCCACTCAGGCCACTGCCCTGCAGGAACTCCCATGTCCTCGGCTGTGGTGCCCCAACCCGCACCCAGGTACAAATGTAAAGATTTACATATTTAAATATGTAAAGTAGTTGGTTTCTATACCTGGTCCACTGGTCCAGAAAAGGATCTGGGAGTCATTATTGACTCCAAGATGAACATGAGTCGGCAATGTGGGGAGGCGGCTAGGAAGGCCAACCGCACCTTGTCGTGCATCCACAGATGCATCTCGAGCAGGTCCAAGGAGGTGATCCTCCCCCTCTATGCGGCACTGCTCAGGCCGCAGCTGGAGTACTGCGTCCAGTTCTGGGCGCCGCACTTTAAGAGGGATGTGGACAGCATCGAGAGGGTCCAGAGGAGGGCCACTCGTATGATCAAGGGACAGCAGGGTAGGTCCTATGAGGAAAGGTTGCGGGACCTGAACCTGTTCAGCCTTCAAAAGAGAAGGCTGAGGGGGGATCTTGTGGCCTGTTATAAACTGGTTAGGGGGGATCAGCAGGCGCTGGGGGAGTCCCTGTTCCCCTGAGCGCCGCAAGGAGTGACCAGGAACAATGGTCACAAGCTGGCGGAGGGAAGGTTTAAGTTGGACATCAGGAGGCGCTACTTCACGGTCAGGGCGGCTAGGGTCTGGAACCAGCTTCCAAGTGAGGTGGTGCAGGCTCCCACCCTGGGGGTTTTTAAGAGGAGGTTGGACGACCACCTTACTGGGGTCATTTGACCCCAGTGCTCTTTCTGCCATGGCAGGGGGTCGGACTAGATGATCTGCTCAGGTCCCTTCCGACCCTTGAAACTATGAAACTATGAAAATTCTTTGAATGAGCTTGCCAGTCCGCAGGATAAAAAAGGTTGGGAATTGCTGACTTATGGGTCTGCACAAGCAAGAATTTCACCAACACCACTTCTGAAGGTCTCCCTGTCTTTAAAAGCTCTTGATGTCTATCAGAAATCGGAACTCATGGTAGAGGTGATATCTTTTATTAGACCAAATAGATTTTTGCAAAAAAATTCTTTATCAGTTTTCTCTCACCTCTGTGTCCCCTGGTGCCTGCCTAGCTTTAGCTCCCAGCCCAGGCAAGTTAGGCAGCAACCAGGTCTGATTAAGGAGAGCAGCAATACTGCCTGTTAGACTGCAGGTGCCAGTGTTTGACAAGTCTCTCAGCCTCCCCAGGGCCTACCTGTGAGATACTTGCCCTTGGCTGCTGTGCAGAGCTCCATAGAAAGTTCAGCCCATGCTCTCTGTATCCTCTACTCAGGTCAGCAGAAATTGTTGATGATGAGCACTTTGCAGGATCAAGCCTCTGACATCCATTCTTAAGGCTGCTGCAATGAGCTAGCATGATTGTACCCTCCCTCAGCCTATCCATTCTTCCAGACTGTATTTCTTTGGGTGAAACTAGTTTAAAAAACAGTCTAATAATGTTGATGAGAACTCAGTCAGTCTTGTAACTTTACCTGAGCCTGACAGCCCCGCACTAGAGGCTGTAGACAAAGAATGCACAGGGAACTAGATTGCTAGCAGACAGGTATGCAGTGACCCTTAGACCCATGAGTTCAGAGCAACTTGAGAATTTGCAGTTGTGTACCTTGCAAGCACTCCCTGATCACAGTGAAGCTGTCTGGTAAGAGAAATGCATTTGTTGCAGCAGAGTTATAGCAGACAATGGGGAGGAATCAGCAAGAACACCACACCTAAGAAAGCCTTTTAATCCTATTAGGAAGGCAGACCTTCAGAGCTCCCCAGAGCCTTCCAAACACATGGGGGAGGCAGACTGGATGAGATCCCTGTCCTTTTACCTGGGTCTGAGTCTAGCCCCAAAATAGCTTTTGTGCCAAGTCCAAATGGAAGTCACGTGAGAGGAAAAAAACAGTAAAGCAAATGATTGTCCTTATTTCCTTAGTGTGTCCTATGTAAGCGCCAGTACAACGACCTGAGCTTTCCGGGGCCTCTCTGCCTCAGGTTCCCATCTCATCCTGCAAAGCCTTGGTAATGGATTACAGTTGTGAATGGGACCCACCAGAGACCCAAATGTAACACTGTTCTAGGTGATACTCTTTTTCTATGGAGCCCTTTCTGAGAGCTAATCTATGTGTTTTCCCTTTTAGGAACCTCCTGGTCTTCAGCAAAGGACAAAGAGCACAATTCCAACATGCCTGACCTCCCCATCGGCGGGTCACCAGCTTGGCCTGCTTTAGGCAAACTCCCTTGGTCCGCAGAAACTCCCTTCCTCCTGCCGCTCCAGCACTGCTGTTCCTACTGACTTTTCGGCAGTGTGCACAGATCCAAGGAGAAGCCAGCCTGAAAGAAGCTCAGAGCCAGCCAGGTGAGTGCTACAAGGCATCTGCTTGCTGGGAGGGATTCTCTACCGGAGTTTGCTATGAGACGTTGTGCCTTGGCACAGCAGGGAAGCTTAATGGTGGCTTTTACATTTGCTTCTCCACCTCCCAAATGAGCTGCAATGTGTGCTTGTGGCTAATAACCGCCCAGCAAAGCTTGCAGGCTCGCTTGGGTGTGTATTGCAGTGGGAACAATTAGGGCTTCTTCAATCCTTTTGCTTCAAGTTCTGAGACAGGCTTACTCCACTGCAGTGAGAGGATGGGATTTTAAGACAGAGAAGGAGAAGAGGGATTTCTCCCTTTCAGCTCTGTTTCCAGGTTGTATCTGACTGAATTACACTTGCTGATCCATTATAGCTCCAAGGAGTATATGAAACCAAATCCCATTAGGTGGGGGACCTCATATGTCTTACTGTAAAGAGCCCTGCAGAAAATGTAGTTTAAACTAAATAGTCTCTGCCATTGCTTGTTGTTTCTTGATCTGTTTGTGGGAAACAGGAAAGCTGGGGGAGAGGATTACGTTGTGTGTGTGTGCGTGCGAGTAAGGGAGAAAGCAGTCCTATTAACTACTTCCTTCAGGGAGAGAAAGTGATTCTGTAGTTAAGTATTTACAGCATTTCCAGAAAGTCCAATAAAAAAACCATGGGGCATTGAGTATTTCTGGAGTGCTGAGAAGTATTCGTGTAGGAGCATGTCAGAAAGATACATGAAGCAGCTGGGAAGGAAAAGTTTATTACTGAAGCCAATGGAAGCCGAGGAAGAAGCACCAAGGAGGGTCAAAGCACTCATCCACTGGGCCCAGGGCAAAGCCTGAATGGGGAAGGCTAAAGGGAACAATGTGAAATGTCAAATTCTTAAGCACACACATATGCATCTTATAATGTGTCCAGACAGATAGCAGGAAGGCAATACTGAAAGGGAGGGAATCATTTCTTGTGAAATGATTATCCCAAGCTTTGGACAAGTTATTTCTGATCTTACTTTGTGCCCCAGTGGACTGTACACATACTGCTCAGGGCGTCATGCTGGTGAATATCTTCCTCTCCTCTACTGTCCCATGATGGTAAATTAGTTTTTGTGCTCCTTCCCAGAGGCAAGTGGATTTCAGGGACCATAAAAACGATACTTGACTACCATGTACAGAAGTCCTAATATATGCAGAATGCTTTGGGACAAAACAGATGTTAACTTACCAAAATCCCAAAGCCAAAACTGTCTGCTAAAACTCCCAGCGGAGCCCAGAGGTATAATAAGAACTGAATAAAAATTGAGAAGATTCCAGTATTTGTCTCTAGTTCAAAGTGAAGGACTCCGCATCCTTTGCGTAAACTGAGTCAATTCCTGTGCTGGCCACATGGAATTGACTTATAACCCATGGAAGATGAAGTTAAGAGCTAGCTGGACAGATGAACAGGTGCCAGGGCAGGGAAAGCAGCTTTTAAATCCTGAGAAATCATGAATCAGGCCCTGGAGGTTGAGGGAGAGATTAACTCTCCTTCAGATAATTAAATGGAGGGACTTTCCAATCCCGGAGCCAGTTTGAGAACCAAAATCAACTCCAATTTTTTGCTGGAGGTTTGAAATGTTTGGCTAGCCATTTTTTTTTTCTTTTCCAATTTTTGGTTGAAATGAGAAGCAACGAAGCCCTGTGAAGCCCTGCCTAGAGTAAGAAAAAGGTGAATTTCCATTTGCTATCAAGGCCTAGCGTTTGAGCAATCCAGTTTTCTGAGTGCTAAGCGCTGTTTACACTGGGCACTAACGTAATTTTTAACATTTTGAATTTGCTGCTGTTTAACTAAAACCACCTAGAAACAAAGCCTCAATTTATTTCCACCTAGGATTGGCTTTCCAAATACACAGGCCATATTTATACTAGGAATAAAAGTTAATACTTGTTTAAAATGTCCTAACACTTTTTAACCAACACGTTAAAATCCTGGCATAAATGAGACAAAACTATAAATCCATCACTTGTTAGCTAGCTGAAACCCCTATGTCAGCCAAAAGCTGTTAAAACTACAGCTTGCCACGTCTATACTAGAGTGCGTTATGCGTGTTAGCACATCTTTTTTTCCTTAGCAAAGACAGCTTATTCCCAACTTCTGGTGGGACCTGACATACTGCAGCTTTGGGATTTCCAGCTAAATGTGTTGGGCAGCAAAATGCAGGGAAGCATCCAAATTCCTGGCTGCTTTGCCAAGTTCCACCTCTCTTGACCTATCCCTAATTCATAGGTAGCATTATTAACTTTGGAGTGACCAGTCTCCATCACCTCCTCATTTTCTTGGCTAGAATCCCCTCTCATTTTCTGACACTTTAGCTACTTGAAGCAGGGAATAAAACCCCACCTCAGGCAAACACACTTGGTGACTGCATACCTTTGCAGGCTAGCTTCTCATTCAGCCTCAGTGTAAGGGACTGGTTATCCAGGCTTATTCTACCCAAAGGGGCTGCCCGGATGCAGGCACACAGACAAATGAATCTGGAATATGACCCTGGTTAGAAACATCACCCTGTTACACAAACATTAAAAAAATGTCCTAGAGCCATGAGTGGGGGAGGGAAAATAAAAGAAACACTCCTATTCCTCCAGTAGCTTCTCTGATCCCATTTCACCACAATCCACCGTTTCCTTGGCAATGGCCATCTCAAAATAAACCCCAGCCTGCTAGGCTTAGGCCAGTGGTCCATCCATTTTCACCTTCTGCCCAAAACAAAACCATTCAAACGTGATTTGCTCATGTCTTGCTGCAGCACTGATTGACTGCCGGTGGCTTTGCCTGAAGATCAAACTAGCCACCCGCTCCCGTTTTGTGGTCCCTGCTGTCTGGCAAGTGATCATCTCGTGTTTATTTTTAAGCTCTGTGTCGGCTTGTGGCATTAGGGGGCAGAGAACGGTTACCACTTTCTATTAATAAAACCAGGCCCTGAGGCTGAGAGGAGCTGGGGCTGTGCTACAACCCAACCTGCCTCCAGCTCATACAGAGCATTGTGGCTTCCCAGCCAGCGCCTGTCTGGAATGATTTCAACAACCCGAGGTGCATGTCACAGCTCGTCACCTCCCCTCAGACAGACCTGCAGTAACAGAGAGGGAGTAGGAGAGCCCAGAGGGAGAGCGGCAGCCGCGGCTGAAACCACACAACACCCTTTCACTGCTCCCACTGCAGCGGCAGAGGATTTTCCTGCCTGATCCCCTGCACTGCCGGCCGCATCTCTTCTGCAGCCCTGATCTGTAGGTAAGCGCTTGTCCTCCGACATGAGAGGCAAGGCCAGAGGCTAGGGGTGTGACAGGGGGAACGGGGAGGAGGTGGACGGGGAGGGACGTAACAGCAGGATATGCTGTGATGCGGGATACAGACATGATGCAATTTGCAACCGCCCAGAGCCACCTTTTCCAGCTGGGTGTGAGGAGTGGCAGGGACTGAGGCCCACAGCATCCTCCTCCTCGCTCTCCACTCTGCAGTACGTGTCTTCCCAAAGCCTGCGCAGATGAGATGGACGTAGCCATCTGGCATGCATGGCCCAGGCAGTACTCTGCTTTACAAAGCGGGAGGGGAATTTTGGCCCAAAATGCTGTGGCAGCCTTTCAGAAACGTGCCTGGGGACTTCTAAAATCCACATAGAGCAAGCAGGTCCTTGGCTTCTTAGGTCTTATCTGCAAGCCACATGCACAGTAGGCTGTAGGGAAGGAAGTTTATGTAGCCCAGGAGGAGGAAAGTTGATCTTGTCCGGATGTCTACAAGTGGCTCCTGTGAGTCACTGTATTTCATATATGATGCTTATACCAGTAAGTCACTCCCCACCACCCTGGTTCAATAATAAGGACCAGATTGAAGCTTCATAGTGGGATTTTTGAAAGTATTTAAGCCAGCTAGAAGTGGAAATGGGAAGGAAATGGTTTTCCCAACACAGGAACATTTTTGAGGTTTGGAGAAATGTTCCCATTGTATTTGGGATCAGAAAGCAAAATCTGGAACATTTTTGTAATTGAAGAACTGAAAAATGCTGTTAAAATGAAAATATTTCAATCATATTTTTAGGGTTTTTAATTACAGTGTTTTTACTGCAAAGCAACTTACATTTTTTAATTAAAAAAACCTAAACCTCTATTTAAACCAAAAAATAAAAAGGAGACACGTCTTCCAGCTGCAAAGCAAGAAAAGTGTTTAAATTGAGTGTCTCTGCAATACATCTTAGTTTTGAAAAAAAATGCTTCATTGGAAAATTCCTACCCAGCTCTATTTAGAAGGCCAAGTTCTACTGAAAACTTGTTTTCAGCCTCTGCCCAAAAGCTTGCAAAAAGAACATTTTTTCCAACTATTCAATTGGTCTAATAAAAGATATCACATTTACCCAAATTACCTTGACTGAAAACCACTGATATTTCACTTAAGCACTTCTGCAATTCGCACCTGAGCAGGGATGCTGTGCACTTATCTTCCCTTTTGGCCCTGATGCTTCAACCACTAACCTTAAGCAAAAGGCTGTCCCTTTAGACATGCGCAGACTGTGCTGGCTGCTTCTTTCTGCCCACTCTGGAGTAGCTTGTGCTGCAGAGCAGGCTGCCAGGCAGCAGTCACTACACTCCAGAGAGTGCAGGGGTTACATTTATAGCCAGCAGGTGTATTGTGGGGACAGAGCTATAGAGGCTCACCTGTGCAGTAGGGCAGTAGTAAGCCACAACCAAGGCCCAAGGAAATTAATAACACAGATGGATTTTCTACTGTACTGCCCTGTGTCCCAGAATGAAGGTGGAAGGAAGCAAGTCTGTAGTGGGCATAGACAACATGGAATAATCGCTGAAGGCCACAGGTGGAGATATCGCAGCAGAAAACAGAGGAAGGACATGACATGGGTGGACAGAAGAGAAAAGGACAGCTATGAAAGGGTCATGAGGAACAGAGAGAATACGTAAGGCAGGAATGGGAAGACTAGGATAGCAATGAGACTGGGTAGAATGGGACAGGATGGAAAGATGGAAGCCTGAAGAAGGGAGAAAAACTAGATTTACTTCTGCATTTCACCAGCCCGGGCCACAAGTCACTGCAGCAACAGCAGAAATGTATCCTTAGTAGTACAGAGCTCAGCATTGACTGCTCAAGTATTCATCCAGCTTCTTGAGAGACTTTTGCAGTTTCACAGTGTGCTCTGGGCTGCCTTGACTACAATGCTATCAACACCCAAGCAATAAAGCTAGCAACACAGACCACCCTATGTAAGTACACACCACAATTTGCTAACAGGCCCCAGGCTTATCTTGACACCTGTCCCTTGAAACACTTATTTCCTCTGATAGCAATTTCACACAACCCTTCAGCTCGAGCTCTGGGACCTCCTCCTTCTCCAGCAGGGAGGTACAAAGATTTCCCCGTGCACTTCTGTTTAGTTGCAAAATTTAGCAGAATTTGGACTGTGAAGTCCCCTACCCAACCATCTCATTGGCCACCCCTAGTATCCTAAGGCTGATGAAAGACCTTGTAATGATGACTAGGCTCCATCAGAGCATCTTGGCAAGTGTGGGTGGAAGCCTCATAACATATGAGAGTACACAGGTTTTATGGAAAGATTTGTGCAAACAGAGGTCTAAAGTTTAATTGGTTTCAAAGGGCTTGGTGATGATAAGGCAGCACAATGTTTAATTGTTTTTCCTGTAATATTTGGGCTGGTTCCATTTCCTCCGGGCGCACAAGTAACTGATCCAGCCGTTCAGGATGCACACTGTATTTGTGGGGCAGATTAAATCTAAATGAAATTTTGATCCACCAAAACCTCCAGCCAACACAGAACTAAGGCAGCCTGCTGGACAGACCTTCATTCACAGCTCCACCCCAGCCCATGGGACAGACTCTCCTTCCCAGCCTCCCCAAATGGACGCTGGCCTTCCTCCCACTCCTGAGCCCTTGATCTTCCTCCCGAACGAAGCAGTTCATTATGCAGCTGGCTTCAGCTCTTTCCATTTTATTCCCCATCAGCCATGTACTCTCTTCCTGCTTCTGGGTTCTTTGATGAAGGAAACCGAGGTGCTGAGAGCTGAGCCTGCCCTTCCTCTGTTTCTTGAATTGGGCTTTTAATTCACTGGATAATACAGACAGGGAGGCTTGCAAAGTTCCTGTAAAGTGCAAGAGAGATGGTGGAACAAGTCCTCCTAGGTCTCCCACCCACTTTCCACGGTTCTCATTATGCTTCCAACTCGATTCTTTTATTCACATTACTGTAACTGTAATTTTACCACCTAGATTGCTAGCCAGTACCCATTGCTGGGATCCAAAGCCTTCAAAATTATAACTTGTTCTATATGCTCACTGCAGGGACTAGAAACCATGCTCCCCTCTGAGATATTTATGATTTCATAAGCAAGAGGGGAAGCGGAGTTCCCTCAGAAAAGGGAGGGAGCAAATTGGTCCACTCTGAAACAGGAGTGAAGGGACCACTGAGAAGAGAGGGAAGGGATAAACAGAATTTGCCTTTGAATGCAATTTGAAAGAGGGTTAGGTCAGCCATCGCTAATACTATTTGTCTGTGTGAAGCGGTGTGCATTTAATCAGAGCCTCTGGTATTCAGGATGAGGCTGCCTCCACTTTGTTTGCTTGAGTTTGGTGCCAAATGCCCTGGGGTATAATTTCTGTTGTAGTGTAGTAATGCAGCTAGAGACTGGTTGCATTTCTCCCCCCTAAAAGCTGAAGCAGAGGAAGGGGCTCATGCCTTCTGGGGAAGGCCGCTCTTGCTGTCCTGTCTCATGGGCTGCGATGCGCGGGGGACCCAGCCAGAGATGCATCTGCACAGAGGACCTGGCTGCCCCCGGCTCCTGCAGTGCAGGAGGTC